CTTTACAACTCCCAGGAATGTCTTCACTTCCTTCCATCTGTTCTTCTTTTAGTCACTCTCTTTGGTGCCGTGGTTTGGCTGACAAGGCAGGAGCAGGGGGGCTCCTGGCAGGAATGAAAATTACAAAAGGGCAGAGATGACATGAAATGCTATGTGCTGGCTTTCTTTCCCCTTGCTTCAGTTGCAAGTTAGGGGTGTAGGGATGGGCGGAAATTCCTGGGCAAGATGACCATGCCCAGGAAATCTGTATATTTAATTTCTGAGAAAATAACCAGTAAGCTGTCTAAATGCAAGGCAACGATCTGGTGAAGCTGTTCACAGTCAGAGTATCTGTAGGATCCATCCAGGTTGGAGAGGTCCAAGCGAGGGCCTGAGAGCGGATATGAGGCTTGGCCACACTGCTGTGGGATGGTCCGGGTTGCTAGAGGGGGCAGCTCACTGGCCACGGAACGCTTTGAAGCCCCGAAGACCCATGAGAACCCATGGTGGGTAGGATTAGGGTGGGAGAGGCAAGTCCTTCTCTTGTTCCTGGCTTGCAGACAAGAGGACCCTAAATTCTTCACCGGGCTGGGCTGTCAGTTACTCCAAACACTGTCACTCACCCCAGCAAGTAGAAACACATGCATCCTTGTGCTGTTCCCCACCAGCTGGACCCCAGTCCCACAAGGCTCAGACCCCACAGGGCTGGTGATGCAGAAGGACCTGGGCTGGAATCCCATCCCCATTCCCTCCCCTCCCCCAGCAAGCCCATTAACTTCTCTGTGCCTCAGGCTCTACCTCTGTGAAATGGGCACAACAAACCCAACTTCTTGCGTTGGTTGTTTAGAAGATTCAAAGAGATCAGTGAGCCTGCTGTTCTTCCCCCTCCTCCCTGCTCCACGCGCACACAGTGGGGCAAGTGAAGGAAAGAGAAGGAGGCTAAATATGTTGGGTTTTCATTGGCCTCACTGATTTAAAGGGCTTGCTTTGGGAGTAACAGTGGGTGTGTGAGTATCTGGGATTTTTCTGTGGTGGCATTTCCTCATGAAGAGGGGCGACTGATGGAATTTCCCATGATGCCTCTCTCCTAACCTTACTGTGATGATGATGCTACCACGCCTGAGGTAGGCATGGGCAGCCGCAGCTCTCGGGTTCATTTCCCAGATGTGTCATGGCTGATCTTAGGTCGCCTGTCCTGTTAGTGGGGCCCATGTGAAGCCCTGGGGTCTGGGAGCCGGGGGGAGGGGTGCAGACCTGAGAACTGTGCTCAGATCTGGGTAACTGAGCAGCCCTGGCCATGAGGATGGGTGGGCTCAGAGGGCGCTGCTCCTGCCACCTGGCTGGACCACCGCTCTCCGGCTTCACTCAGAACTCAGCCTGTGGGTGGAGATTCCACACAGGCGATTTGGAAAAGGCTTTTGGCAGTCGCACTCCTCTGGTCTGGACAGTCTGGTGGAGGGGCCTGTTGAGGGGCGGACTTGGCTGCCTGACCTGTCATTGCCTGGGTCTGAGCTCCTCCCAGGGTCCTAAGGAAGGACATCACTGTAACCAGCCGCCCAGCAGCTGGACGGAGCCGAGTGAGCATCCGGGAAAACTGACCGTGGTGTAGGCTGCAGGCAGCACAGAGAAAATGGGGCTTGTGGCCTCAGTGCCCTGTGTTCAAGGACTGGGCAGTCGGGTGGGTATAGAGCAGCGGGCTACATTCTGTGCCTGTGTTTCCAGATCTCTCCAAGGACACTTCAAGGAATTCTAGAGTGCTGTGTGGCCCTCTCAAAGCTGGACTCCCTAAGCTGGGAGTCCTGTGTTAGCATCTCTTGGACCCTCACTGTTTATGAAATTGGTGATATCATTTTTGCTGAGCTAAAATGTCAGGTAATTTTTAACACTCTTTAGCAGTAGTTCTCCAAGCGTGGCCCCCAGACCATCTGGAGACTCGTTAGGCATGCAGATTCTCAGGCCTCATCTGCGCCGACTAGTGGTGAGCTCTGGGGTGGGACCCAGCCTGCTGGACTTGGGCCGGACTTCCAGGCAACGTTAGTTTGTGAACCATGCCGTCCCCTCCTCAAAGCTCTGATGTCTGCCTTGCATGGCCCGGCCCTTTTATAGCCTAATAGCCACGAGCTGTCCAAGGAATTAGCTTTGGGAAACGGGAAAGATGGGCTTGCGGGGCTGACAGAGGTTGGTTTGAATCCCAGTGCCTTTCTTCACATCGTTGGGCGGCTGGGAGCGTTAAATCAGAATATACTCCCCTGCTTAGTGCTGTGCTCGGTCCAGAGAAAGTCCGCTAAATGGTAGCCACTAACAACAGAAGGAACTCTTAGAGTTAAGATAATGAACAGTGATAAGTTACCAACACAGTTCTAGGATGATATGTGTCACGTGTCCTTCTTTTTGCCTCTTTTTTTTTCATAAATCACTGTTTGCTGTGGGGTGTCGGTCTGAGCCCTCTACTCCCTCCCTGTTCGTGGGTTCTCGAGTCCAATGCCCTGACTGCTTCTAGCAAAGTTCGTTGCCCTCCCCAGGGGAGCAAAAGTCAAGCTTCATGCCTAATGCTTGGTTCTGGTAACTGTCCTGTCTGCCCTTTCATGACAACAGGAGGAGCACAGTGCACAGGGCGGCCAGCACCCATGTCCACTGAACGGGCCGCTCCCTGGGGCAAGGCAGCGCGGTTCCGGCAGGCGGCCCAGGTCCAGGCCTAACGGCGGGGCTGCGGGACACGCCGTCTATGGCTGGGTGGGCTGTTTAGCTACCTTAATAGGATTTGCTCCCCAGCTTCAAGGAGGTAAACAGGGAGTCAAATAAGAGCGCCCAGCCTGCTTTCTTCCTGGAACAGATAACCAGCAGGGTTTTCTAACTCAGCACCAATGTAGTAGAGAGTATCAGATCCAGCTTCTGCCCCTTAGAGACTATGGGGCCCCGGGCCGGATACTTATCTTCTCGGAATCCCTGACTTCTCACCTGTAAAATGGGGTTGGTGAGATCTACCCCCCAGCTAGCTGCACGGATTAATCCACGCCCCGGAAGCAGTGAGCACAGCATTTGGCACAGAGCAGGTGCTTGATGCATGTGAGCTCGAAACCTCATCATCCTCCCCAGCAAAACGGCCACCCACGCGGTCCCCATCTTTCAAGGATCAATTTAGTTCCAACATTTATCCGTTCATTCATTTGTTCATTCATTCATGGATTTTATCAGGCACCTACTGTCTATATGGATGGAACTTGCAGATACAGAGCTGGACAGGACAGGACCTCTGCATCTGAGGGAGGTGACGGACATGGGTCTACCGATGACATCACTAGGTGTCTAACTAAGATTGGGGTTAGGGCAAGGAAGGGAAAGTCTGTCTTCCCAAGCCCGCCCTGCCCACCAACATCGGCTTCCTTCAGATTCCCTGTTTACTGGCTGGTCTTGTTTATGTGCTTCCAGAGTGTCAGAGCCATTTCCTAAAGCTGACTGTGGGCAAGGACCAGGGATCTCAGGCCACCTCTGCCCCACTTCCACGCTGTCCAAATATGTGGGCTGAGTCTAGGATCAGAGAGTTCTCAGATCAACATTTCTCTCTTGGGAACGGCAATTGGGAAATGTCACAGACTTAAAGAAGTTGCCTTCCAGCTTGGAACCATGCAGTATTTATGCGTTAAGGACAGACGGCTACTGGAGGGTGGGGAGAGGGCAGGGCTATAGAGAGACTAATTTATGAAACATGGTAACTGGATCTAACTTTTTTTTAAGCCCCTGGGATGTGAATTCTTACGGAGAAATGGGTCTTTTCAATACATCATCAGATTTGTGGTAGGGAAAATCAGTCTCATTCTTTTGTCTCAGAGTTCATTGGATGGCAATCCCAAATGAACATGCCCACAGGGAGCGGGGTGGAGATGTAGGACGCAGGTCTTGTGTAACAAGTGTGAATCACTACAGAGATGGGCGAGCTGGCCCCTTCTGGGTATAGTGACAGCATCATTTGGGCTGGCATTTCCTTGAGGTGTCTGGCTCAGGCGGGTGGCTGCTAGCCTGGTCCCAGAAAAGCATGTAATTTGCTTGAGGACCCTGTGTGTTCGGACTTTTATCTCCAAATGTCAAA